AAACTAAGGGAACAAGCTCAAAAATTTTTGCCAAGGAAAACAATAAGGAGTAAAAATGTAGAAACCTTGCAATGGAAAAGGCTATTAAAAGAATGCCCTGCTGTTTGGATGTGGCATTGTTCTCTGGTTTGCTTTTAAATAAGGCTTTTCATTGTAGCTAGAGAGGGAAAAAGGGAATATTTGATGAAAAGAAAAATCGTGGGCAGCTCTTGAAATCAAAGAGAGTAGGAAGGGTGGTTCAATGGACACCATGAAATCCAGGTTAACTGGAACACCATTGCAATTAGATATGATCTCACTGGAACAAAACCTAGTGGCAACTGATGTCCTGTTGCTTGATGAGGCTGTATCTTTTTTTTTATCTGTGCTGTTGTGAAAATGCAACATGTACTAAATCTGTGGGAAAGGTGGGGAGGAACCAAGCCAAGTGCACTGGTGTTGGTGGGAGGTTGACATCATCTTTCACGGATGTTAAGGGCCTCTTTCCATGTTTTGTGGAGGATGGGGAGTTTTTTGGTGTGGTAATGATGTTCTCTCTTCTCCATTCCAGCAGACACTCCCCTCTTAAGGGAACCTTTGGGAACCATATAAGAGTTTGGGGAAGAGGTGGGCGAATCCCCCCTGCTTCTACCCACTCGAGCAGTCACACATGACAGATTCATGCCTGCAGCACTTCTAGTTTTTATCTGCTCACTAAATTTTATTTCCCCTCTGTGAGTGTTTATATTGCTTAGAGACTGCCAAGGTTCATGTTAATCATAAAAAAAAGTGGAGGTTTATTAGGTATTGCAGCTCTGTGATTCTTTGGTGTTTGAATGTTAATGAAGCTCTGTATGCCCTGAAATAGCTAAAGAGGTGGATCCTACCTCTGGCATGGCAAAGGGGTGAGGGGGGGTGGGATGGTGGATTTTTTTTTCCCTTCCCTCTGGGTTTTAACATCTTACCTGACATTTCATCCCAGAGCAATTTTACACTATGTATCATCATGTGTAATACTGTGTCACGCTGTAATTTTGCAAGTGCATGAAACGGCAGGAGAGAGGTGAGAATGGGCTCAATTACACCCTGGAGGGAGGGTGGAGCTGAGCGGAGGGACCTGCTCCTGGGAGGTAATGAATTGGGTGTCTGCACTTTGCTGGAGCAGAGTGACAGAGCAGAGGGGAATTTATTATTTTTAGGGGCTCAGTGGGCAGACAAGAGGAAAGGAACCAGTCAAATCACATTACTAATGGTCATTTCCATAGGCTGTGCACGTACGTGGGATTTAACAAAACAAGGGACACTCATTCTCGCTCCAGACAACTTGGTGCTTTCTGTTTCTGAAGGCTGAAGGAAGAACTTCGCCATTTTAACTGGCTCGGAGTGAGGAGCCTTCAAAGCAGCTTTGATGGCAACTCTTGGGGACCGCAGGCACAGAGTCATTCTGGGTGAGGGACACATCCCACTGCTCAGGGGTGTTTCCCTTTCACAGCCTCTTCTCTGGGTGTAGTCAGCCCTGAGGGATCCCTCTGGGGTGGAGGAAACAGGGATGCAGAGGGGCAGAAAGGAAGTAGGTAGACATTCGGGCAGGAGGAATCATGTGTGCAGGGCGTGTGCGTCCTGCTGGTGTGAAGCTCTTGCTAGCCTTGATGATGAAGGTTGTATTTGCTAACGAAAGCTAGAGGCTGAGCAGCTTCTTATTGTTCAGGAACGAGAGGTGCTTTCTCACTGAGTTACGCTTTATGCATTCCCAGGTGGTGTTTGGTGTAATTTCATTGCCCTTTGTGTCTTCCTTTGCCCTGAGCACAAGTTTGTTCCTTTAGATTAACCTAAGCAAGATTTCTTTTTTCACTGTACGTTATATTTATGGCAGAGCAACCAAGCTGGAGAGCCGAGCATTTCTTATTTTCTGAATTTCTAGCCAGGGCTGCTCTCTAAGAACTGGCTTTAGTAGAGTAAGATGTACATCTTGCTTTAGTGTTTTCAAAGTAACCTCAAAGGGGACTTGTGTCTTTGTCGCCTTTGCACTACTGTGTAAATTGTTATCAAAGGAAGTACCAGGCCTAATATGTTCCTCTTTTAAATGGAGAACAGTTGATGGACATTTATTCTCCAGTGGGAAATGCTCTTCCACATTGGTCTGCCAGAGCTGGGTTGTGATGGGTGTTGTTGGAGAGGGTTTTTTTCCAGGTCTCCTACTAGAAAAAGTGTTAGTGTAATTAATCCACAAAGTCTCTCCTTTTGGCTATACTTTTTCAAAGTGACATTTGAACAGTTTTTTTAGGTGTGATAGGACTTCTCTTCGGGGCACAAATCATGGCAAATTTCATTTCCATCTCGCTTAAGTCCAAATAAGACTTATTATTCTTCAACACTATGAAAAGGGATGTGGCTTCACCAGGTTGGGAACCCATGGGCTGCCGTAAAGCTGATCTGAAATATTTCCATTCAAACTTGTGGGCAAGTATGCTGTGATGGAGAGGAGGTGGAGCCCGTATTTTCTTGGTCAGATTAGTGCAATTCATACATCTGCACTCCTTTTCTACCAGCTACCTTTTCAGCACACCAGAAGTCTTACACATGTTCGCTGATGAGGTCCCATAGTAAGTGCTTCTCCCTCTGCAGCTGCCTTTTGCTTAATTGACCCATTTTGCAGCAGATTAGGCCCCAAGGAGGAGGTTAATATGAGCAGTTACTCTAAAAGGCAGGTCGGGGCCTCAGTGAACTGATCATCACTAGAGAAGCCTGTTAGCCCCAATTTTCATACCTTTTTATACTTTATTCTAAAATATTCTGACTTAACAATGAACTTATGAATCTCTGCTGCTAGTTATAGTCTCCACACCTCTCTCTTTCCTGAGTTTTGAGCTGGATGTGTTGCATGAGATTTAACACCATACATGCAGATTTATGTTCACTCTTGCTTTTTGTCTCAAAACAGCCACCAAAATTCTATATCTGGATCTTCCAGCATTGCAGGTGGCATTGCCAGGGCTGCTTTAGTTTCTCTGAGTAATAGTCCTAATGTGCTGTGTGAGATGTAGGGATACATCTCACCAGGCAGTGTATCTTTCTGCAGGATTGAGGAGGATGAGAAGTCTTTTCTGCGCTGCAAGCAATTACAGTGGCCCCTTTGAGTCTGCAGGGATTGCATATCATACAGGTTCTCAGAATTACAGCTGCTGCGATGACTGGAGGAGAGAATTAGAACAAAATTCAGTGTGAACCTATATTAAGCAGTTAGTATCTCTTTATTGATACAATATTACTAATCGTACAGTGATGAATTACCAGGCGTGGCTAGCTTGCTCTTTATTAGCTGCTGTTCCTGACAAGTCTGTCCACTGTACTGTAGGAATTACCTCTGTATTTCCCCACTTTCTACCATTCCCAGTCTCCTATACATTAGGTAAGGAACAACTTCTGCCTGTACCTACTCTTCAATTTCTTTGAACACCCATTCAAGAAAATAAAGAGGTTTGTGAGCTAGATAACTGTAACAAAAAAAGGGTGGATGAACCTTGAAGGACTAGACAGAAATGAAAAAATTGTGTTTTTCCCTTGCTGGGGCAGTAAATGACAATGATTACCTTCAGTACAGGTAGGTGCAGCCCTGGTATTGGGGCAGGAGCAGGTCTGGGAGGATGAGCACATGCATGGTATGGTGGCAGCATGCCTGCAGGCAAACAGTCGCTGCCACGTCCTGCCACTGCGGTTCTCTCAGTGGATGGGTTTTGATGTGACCAGGGAGAATGTGCAGCCCTGGTCTCAGCTTCTGGTGCCGTGATGGGAAAGTGGGATCCTGAAGCAAACAGATTGAGGTTGTGGGTAGGAAAAAGCCTCGTTGATCACTGTCCCTCCTGTAAAGCCATGCCTGACCTCAAACTTTTGCCGTAGGAGCTTCCTCAACGTGAGCTCTTGTGTAGGCTCACCAAGCACAAAAACATTGCAGCCCCAGGGTTTATGATATTTTTTCATGACAGTCCAGATCAGTGTGAGACAGCAGTCTCGACAGGATGGGTTGCTGTAATTTAGGCAGTAGAAGTCCACAGCCTTTTATGCTGCATTAGTTGAATTACCAGCTGGGACCAAGGAAGCTTTGGGGAAGGAGAGAACGAGAGTCCATTTGGGACCCTTGCTCAGTCCTTACAGAGGACACAGCTTGGCTAAAATCAAGGATCAGGGCCTCAGTCGAGACGTCTGAATGGGGCCAGGAGATGCTGTTTAATGAACAATTTATGAGGGACCTGGAAGGGCTGGAGAGAAGGGAGTGACCACAAAGAAACAGAACGGTGCAGCAGTACTTTGGATTCCCTGCTTGGGAATGAGAAGAGGGGGAAGAACTGGGCCCAGAAGAAGGTGTTGTGTCTGGTACCTTCAACAGCAGCATCTGCTCCTGGACATGCTGCAGGATTTACATGCTGGCCTTTGTCAGTGGTTGGGGTATTCTCCTTTTAAAGCTTTGTAAATACAGGATTCCCTTTCTCCCGCCCTCCCTTCTCCAAGGCACAGCTTATCCTTGTCACATTGCCCAGAAGGCCCAAAGGATGTGTGTTACAAAGGCTTCGTTCCTCCTGCTTGCTCACCTACCTCTGCTATCAGAAAAGCGGGATCTCACCATCTTTGTAAGGCACCTTATTTGCCCAGATTAAACCCTGGATGCGGACTCTGACCGCTGGCAGATCCTGCTGGGCCAGCAGATGGTGATGCTGGTTGGACAGCTGAGAGGATGGAAACACAAAGCCACCGAGAACATCAAATGCCTCAGCAAAATCCATACATTTACAAGGGGTTAAACACAGGAATGTGCACTCCTGAAGGTCTGTGGGGAGACGGAAATGATGTGAGAATTCAGGGCTATTGGATCTAGCATTCATTCAATTACCATGCTTAGTTAAGTACTGCACAGTGGAGTGAAGACTGCAGTCTGTTAGGATGGCTGCTACTATGAGTCATTTAATTACGAGGTCGCTCATATGCCATTTTAACATATGTAGAGTAACATTATCCTTCTTTTGTAGGTCACTATTCTCATAAGTCTGGCTCTTGCATTCCTTGCCTGCATAGTGTTTCTTGTGGTATACAAAGCCTTTACTTATGACCACAGTTGCCCAGATGGATTTGTTTATAAGGTAAGAAACTTCAGACGGATGAATTGCCTGAGATAATGATAGACTCTAATTGACTACATGGTTACAGTCTAGTCTGCTTGTTTGACCAGGCCAAACAGAACATTTGGCAAGAATGTGTTGAAAAAGGAAAAGCGTTATGGGAAATGTGAACTTGCATCTGCCTCCATCAGCTACTGTTACACTGTAATTGTTGGGATTAGCATTTGGTGAACACTACAGACAGATGTTCAGGAACAATCTGTCATATTTGTGAATGGATTTATTGCCGCTGTAATCCTGCATTTGCTTCCCACACGTTTAAGTGACTGAGGTTTACTGGCATACATTTTAATGCAAAGCAAACTTCCAGAGTGCTGGCACTTCTGTCCTTTGTGAAAGAAATCTGAATTTGGCCATGTAGTTAATTTTTAGGTGCTTTCGAGCCTCTGTCAGGAACAAACCCACGTAACTTAATTGCTAAAACCCTGCTGCCCAGTGATTTTATATGGAATATTCACTGGCAACTGTTTGCCTGGTCTGTTGAGATTTAAAAAAAAATAAAGTTTGCAAAATAGTTCACTGACTCCTTACTGTGAATAAACTCAGAAACTCACAGGAGTCTTGACCACACTGGGGTCTGTGGGGTGGAAAATAGGGTAAGAATGTATATTAGTCAGCGTGAATTATTCTCTTAGGTTATATAAAAATGAAGTTAGGACGGAGTCATGAAGTTCAGAATCAGATCCAAACCTGAACTTCTGAAAAGATGGAAGGTTTTGGACTCACATTTCAGCTAGTCACATTGAACTGGGAGTTGGGATATCTCATAATTTAATAATAATTTTACTGGGGCCCTTTGTCATGTGTTACCGTTTGATTGCTCTTTTACAGCTGTTGCAAAGTGAGTTGTTTTTTGTCTGTGCAGTTCTTAGCACACAAGTGTCCGCGCTAGCGCAGCGGAGGCGCAGAGGCAGTGTCTGCACGGGCAGGAAGCTCTGACAGGGGCTGGCCAGCTGGGCTGCGCTCCCTGCCATCTCCGACCAAGGCGGTCATCCTACAGGTCGTAGCTAAGACGCTGTAACAGAGCAGCAAGCAGTTTACTCCGCCTCTGCCCGTTCTCTGCTTGTCTGGAGATTAACTCTGGACTTCGCTCTACAGAGCTTTCAGTCCAGCATGTGGTAAGAGCTGGTCGGCCAGCCCTGCTAGGACTCCAGCAAGGGGCCTCGGTCTCTGTGAGTGCCGGTAACGTACCCAAGCAGTCGGACCTTCATTTTACAGTCCCCATTTCCCATCCACAGATGAAATCAGCCTGCAATCAGGGTTGCCAATAGCAACAGGTTTTGAAGGCTGCTGCCTGACTCTAAACTTTGTGCATTCCCATGGCGCTGAAAGGCAGTCGGGGCTGCACCGCAGCTGCTCTCACTGCAGCAAGTCGGAGTCAAACGTCATCCGTGCAAACAGCTAAGCTGAGATTTTTAGAGTGAGAGCCTGAGGCTGATGGGACCACTCTTTACTTCTCTTGCTTTCTTCCCCTTTCCAGCACAAGCGGTGCATCCCAGCCTCGCTGGATGCGTACTACTCTGCACAGGATTCCAACTCCCGGGGCAGGTTCTACACCGTCATCAGCCACTACAGCATGGCCAAGCAGACCAGCTCCCGGGCCGTATCTCCCTGGCTGTCTTCAGGATCGGTAAACCATGAAGCCAAGGCTGCCAAGACAGAAGGTCATTAAATTTAACAAGTGGTGATGGGCAAAGTGGGAGGGTGGGGGGAAAACACCGTGTCTATACTGCGTTGCTCTAGCTGAGGGTGCTGTGCTAACAGCACAACAGGAATAAATAAAACCCAAGTGCAGGAGTCATCTTAATGGATATTTCTTTTCGTGCATTGTTCTTGTTGATTTGTAACCGAGTCGAGCTCTTGTACAAAGGCATGTTTGATGTTGACTGTACCTTACGATGTAAAAATATTTTTAAATCATTGCTTAACTATTTGTTAGAAAAAGAAATTAAAAAACAAAAAAAGCAAATTAGATAAACAGCCAGAGAGGATAAAAGCAGCACAGAGAATCCTGCAAAGTTTTATCATTGCTGGAAAGCTGTGACAGAGGATTAACGTGCAGTGAAGCAACAGCTGAAATGCTTTCAAGAGAGGGGTAGAAAGAACCCAATACAAAGACATTGTGGTGGTGTTTAGCTTGCCAAAGGGAGGATATTTTGCTGTCAAATTGGATCTAGCCTCAGTGTTTGTTTGCTGATAGAGAAATACAAGCATCCCCTCCTCCCTCAGACATACACACGTGCACACACATGTGCACACACTCCCCTGCGCAGTGGCCTAAGTAAATCCAGAAAGATGTAGATATTCATAATGAGCTGCCACTGTACTGGTGAGCTTGGCTGGGCTCTGAGCCTGAAATCCTGCTTGCTATTTGGATATGGAGCAGGATGGAAGCAGACAGAGGCTGCTATGGTGAAATCATGAATATACTTCTGAGCACAGGGCTAGGAGTCAGGAGATCCGGGCTTTATCTCTGCTTCTGGCACAGATTTCCTGCATGATCTTTGGCAAGTTATGTGAGGTTTCATCCTTTGGGACCTCTCTCCTGAGGGTCACCAAGAGACAAAGAAATACCATTACGAGTTGAGGAGCCTCTCAAGAGTGCTGATGGTATAGAGCATTATTGAGCCCCTAACTTTTTAGCCCCTAATTTTCCCTCACCCATGAAATGGGATGCTCCTGCTTCCCTGCTTTAGCTTCAGGTACTGAAGTATTTAATGTCATTCTAGGTAATTAGAGAGGGATGGCCGTAGCATGCTCTCAGAGTACAAGGGTCCCATCAAATCTCTGCTTGCAAACGCAGTCCAGACCCCAAGCTTAATCCAGTCCTGGCCAATGTAAAACATCCTCTCCCCAGAAATGGTGTGTGCAATTAGTGCAGACTGGTGGGATTTTAAAAAAAAGGGTTCTCTTTTTTTCAGAGCTGTAAGCCGTTGCTGTAAAGCAGCTCTGCTCCTTGGCAGCGCAGGCAGGGTAAGACTGAGCAGCAGGAGCAGAGTGCACAGGTTCACGTTTGGCTAAGGCTGCTTTTTCAGATTTGTGGCTAGACTGGGATGGAAATTAGTAACTGGCCCCTTCTTCCTCCGCATTGGGCAGTTTTGTCCTCCATTTCGCATACGTAGACACTAGAGGGTGTAAATGAGGGCAGAACTCCTCAGTCCTAACAGGCATCATGATAAATAACTGTATAGTGTAGCTAAAAATGTAGTGCCAAATGCCATTGTCTGATTTCCTATCCTTCCTTCTCCTTCCACCTGTAAATTCATTTCTCACTCAAAATGTACAAACCACCCCCTCCACCAACAATCAGAACTCCAGCAAACCACTGAACAGTTTATAATTTTGTGGTGTATTTTTTGTCAGTAGGTAGAAGAGACTGAAGTATTTTTTGGTGTAATTCTTGAACTTTTCTGACGGGATTAAAATAAAGCTAGATGTGACTGAGTGTCTCTGTGGCTCCAGCAGGTTTCTTCTGGTGACTCGTGCCATGGGCTGGGAGGTGGTGAGTGGTGATGTGTGCATGCCTGGTGCTGCCGAATGTGGCTGCAGCGGAGACTGCGCCTTTGCACGGGACCCCAGGTGACTCAGGAGGCATTTTCAGAGCTTGCTATTTTCCCATTTAATGGCTGGGGGTTTATTGCCTAAGTTCCTGCCCATTTTTCAATTGCAAATAGATGAACAGTAAGTAAAACCAAGCTGATACTCTATCGGTGATGCTGGACTTTATGGAGGCACCTCCCCTCCCTTCCCATTTTAAGGCCAACAAATGATAGAAACTTTGGCTGGCAGTAATGTCTCCTTTGTCATCTTCTCCTGGTGGAAGTGTTCATATATGCTGGAGCAGGCTCCATAAGAAGGCTGTTACAAAAAGGAGCGCTGCAGGGAAATACAGGTGACAGACCAAGAGCCGTGTCTGAACTTTGAAGAAGTTGACCTCTGTATCCAAACTCTGCAGCTTGATTTCTAACAAGCCCACAACTATGTTCATCTCACATTGTTCAGAAAGCAGATTGTATTTCCTCAAACCTTTCAACTCTCTGAAATGGAGTGATACCCTGGCATTAAATTGGCTCATTCCCAAAGGCTAAAGAATGTTTTATAAAAACCTTTGGATGGTTTTCCTTCAAAAAAGAAGTGTATTCAGAGTTGTGAAATTGAGCTGCCATAGGGGAGAAACCACTCTGGTGTTAGAGGTCACCACCGAGTACTTGTGAAATGTATTAAAAAGGATTCATCACGCTTTGCAGAATTGAGTCACAGGATAATTTGACCATGGTATTTCTATTGCCATTTTCCCAGTAATACTCTAACCATATGTTTACTTAAATCTAAAAAACCCAGGAATCAAATCATTTCCATTAAAAGGTTCTAGCTATTATTAGACAAGTGAGTCAGTAGGGATAACCATTCCTATTTAATAAAGGAAAGATCAAAATCTGTATGGCGCAGAATGGAAAAAAAAGACCCAAGGAAGACTCATGGGAGAGCAAAAGAAACCAAACAACCCAACTCCAGCTGCAAGTTCCATTACTGTGCATGTTGTTATTACACTTTTTGTGCAAGCTGCAGTAGAGCTTCCAAGATCAACCACGTCTTTTAATCACAGTAACAAAGAGAGAGAGTAAATTGAAATTGTAGTACATCTTCTTCTTATTTCAGATTTCAAAAGCCTCCTTTAAGGTTGATCATATGTTTTCAATGCTGGTTGAAGTAGCATGTTGGTGGTAGTAGAGTCTCACCCTAGCTGTGTTCTCTCTCTGCGGTCTAAATCTCCTGACTCCTACAGAATAGTGTTTTTGTGAGCTCGTGTCTGGCCAAGGGCTCAGTCTCAGCTCTGAATGGTACCGACCAACAAGAGCCTTCCCTGTGCTTCTCCCAACATTTATGTGATGGCCAAGTGAAGTCAGCTGCAAACTCTGTGACTGACCCCGCTAAAGCAGGAGTCCCTTTGGGCCATCTTCTCTGTTATACTGGATTGCTGCACTGGGGTCAGATTTTTAATTCTCCACCAAAATGTGCTTGTGGACCACTGGGACTGGACAAGTTGATTTCTCTTCTGAGACAGTCATGTGGGAGATGGGTGCCTGGACTGTTTGTTTGTCGTAGCTGGAGTGGTAGGGAGGGATGAAGAAGATGTCAGCACATGAATGAACTCATCTTGTGGGGGACAAGGGCATCCTGAGCAGGCAGCAATCCTGTGGGCTGACTGACAGAATGTGTGGAAAGAAAATAGCTTTACTAAAGGTGTGGTGATGCCATGATGGAAACTCAGCTGCCCCCAGCCTAGGCTTGGAAAGGGAAGGTGAAATTGTGGCTGTTGGAGCCTGAGAAAGACTGAGAGCAAGAGAAAAAGAGATTGCAACCAGCCAAGACAGGGAAGCAAGCATTGCTTTCCTGTCGTAACCCGATGACCCTAAAGCACTGGATGCTGCTTGACTAATACAGACTGTCTTGTTTTGGAAAAGCTGCCCGTTGTTGCTACAAGCATCTGCTGGCCGCGACGTGCCCTGAGGGGAATCGCTCCACCGCTGATTCAAATCCGCTTGGGCTGCCTGCAAAACCAGCGTGTGAGAAGAAGGTGCTGGCGGCAGGAGCCCGCTGGCACACCGTGGGCGAAAACAGAGGTGTCTTCCAGCGTCTTGGAGGTGACTTCACGCTTTGGATCTGCATTAGAAAGACAGCTCAGGGTGCTGCCAGTGCCTCTGTTACGAGATTGGAAAAGGAACAGTCCCCGTCGCTTTGCATGTGATTTTTTTTTTTCCCCTTTATCCTCCTCCGTGCTTGCCAGCTGTTTCTGGTTTGTAATAATACCTCAAGTGATAAGTGTAAGGGTCGTGCACTGAGCTGTCTACAATCACATTTTATACGATTAGTCAGGGTTTTTTAAAGCACCCTAATTATTACAGTCAAACCGGATTAAGCTATTCCTCTAATAGATTTTCAGTTCCTGTAAAATAGGCCAGAGAAAATGACTTACGGGAGGGGACGGGGGAAGGGAAGGCTCCTTCCTGCCGTCTCTTTTTCCTTTGCTTTTTTAAAATGCCAGCAGTGGCAGGGGCGTTACAGGAATCCCACTGAGAGCACTGGGTGAGTGCCCAGCAAAGTCAGGGGTCTCTGGCACTCAGCTCCCCCTCTCACCTGGGCTGGTGCCCTTTGCGGGGCAGAAGAGGTAAAGTCCTTTTGAGTGTCACGTTACTGGGGAGGGTGGCCGACAAGCCATTTGATGGGTCATGGGTTGCTCTGTCATGGAAAATCATCCACGGCAATTGGAAGCAAGGTGATAAATGCAATGGCGTTATGCCTGAACAGCTTGTTAGCAGGCAAGCCCGGGCAGGATTAGTGCTGGAGAGACTTCTGTCCCGCGGACTGTGAGTGGTAAAAACAGAGCGAGAGGAAGAGGAAAAGCCTCTGAAGGGCAGGTTACCCAGTTCATCCTGGCACGGCCAGCGCCCTGCACTGCTCTGACACGGTGGGATGCCAGGGCCCGAGCCACTGCCGTGGCAGGACCCGGCTGCGTGGCGCTGCACCCGCTCCCCTCCAC